TGAACCACTGAGGAGCTCTCCACATTCCACACTCCTAACCTGGCCTGGGCAGATTTCCTCATGCCAAGAGCAGGATTTGCCTGACAGGAGCTCACCCGCAGCTGTGATTTTGATCCTGCTTTTCCTTCTGCTTCCTTTGGGATGTAGCAGAGACCAGGGAACTCCTCAGCCATAGAGATACAAAAAAACACAACCACCCTCACCCCCCCGACCAGGAGCTGCAAAGCCAGACTGGCTCTGTGGTGAAGAACAAATTTCTTTGCCCACCAAACACTCTGAAGGTACTTTTGTACCTGCTGATCATCATAGTTTTTATTCAAAGACGGCAAAGCTTCAACAGCAGCAGAAAGGAAGAAGGAAGAGTAAACACATGCTCTAAATAATAAATCAAAAGGCATCATGAGAAATACAAGTCAAACCCTGCAGTAGGAATGGGCTTCTTCCCAAGTTTCAGTCCTACCTGGGATAATGCCCTGCCACAGGAAGGCACCACACCCTGGGGTGGCTGAGCCTGCACAAGCCACTCCTGCTGTCACTGAGGGCAGCAGACACTGCTCCTCAGCCCAGACTCTCTGACCACCTCACTGCCCCTGCAATTTCCTGGGCGCTGCAAAGTGCCTGAGAACAGGGCCCAGAGCCCCCCTGGCAGGACAGGGACAGCAGCACCCACAGGGGTGATCCATGGGGGGCAATGGGGAACACAACCTGCACAGCCCCCTATCATAGAATCACGGCATCACTGAGGGTGGAAAAGCCCTCCAGGATCAGCAGTCAAGTCCCCAAGTGCCACATCCCCACCTTGTCCCCAGCCCAGAGCACTGAGTGCCACGGCCAGGCCTGCCTTGGACACCTCCAGGGCTGGGCACTCCAAACCTCCCTGGGCAGCCCCTGCCAGTGCCTGACCACCCTTTCCAGGAGAAATTCCTGCTGATGTCCCACCTGCCCCTCCCCTGGCACAGCCTGAGGCCGTTCCCTCTCCTCCTGGCCCTGTTCCCTGAGAGCAGACCCCAATTCCCACCTGGATCCATCAGGGAGTTGCAGAGCCAGAAGGTCCCCCCTGAGCCTCCTTTTCTCCAGGCTGAGTCCCCCCCAGCTCCCTCAGCCCCTCCTGCTGCTCCAGCCCCTTCCCAGCTCCGTTCCCTTCCCTGCACACGCTCCAGCCCCTCCGTGTCCTGGCTGGGATCCCAGAAGTGCCCCAGCACTGCAGGTGGGATGGGCAGTGCCCTGGGGCTGGCACACCCCAGGTGACATTGCCCACCTGGGCACACCTGACCTATAATTTACTCAGATCTCCTGCTGTGATTCAGGGGAGCTCCACAAGGGAATTCAGCAGGAATCCGTTCCTGAGCTGGACCTGCAGTCCCCACGCTGGCTGTTCCTGGTGTGGTGTGAGCACTGACTTACTGAACAGTGTCAGCAGAGCAGCTGATCCTGCAGGGCCACCCCCGGTGCTGTGCCAGGCTCAGCTCTGCCCGTGTGCCAGAGATCCCCCCTGGTACAGTCACAGCCACATGATCCCGCTCTCCCAACTCCTGCCAAACAGCAAGTGGCTTATCTGGAAGATGCAGCCCCAGGACTGTGACTCACACGATGCTGAACTGCAGCATCACACTGGAAATAAGGCACTGACTGCTCTGCAAATAGCAGCAGAGGGGCAGGAGAGCAGCCTGCCTCGTGGTGGATTTTCAGGTCTGTTTGCAGCATTTGATGGAAGATGAGGGTATTGCCAGAAATATTGTGCAGTACTGACAGAATATTGTGCAACAAGCCAACACAAACACTGCTGTCTGCTCAGCACCGAGAGCAG